TTTAAGTTCCCAGAATCCATTCCTGGGCATGATTTTGAATGCCCGGAGCCAACTGTAGGCCACTTCGTGTTCTTCTAGTTCCCAGAACTCCATTCCTGGGCCACATTTTGAATGCTGAGGCAGGCTGATGCTGCGGCCGAGGCAGGCTGAGGCTGAGGCAGGCTGAGGCTGAGGCCGAGGCTGAAGGCAGACTGAGGCTGAGGCTGAAGCAGACTGTGGCTGAGGCTGAGGCAGGCTGAGGCTGAGGCTGAAGCAGGCTGATGCTGAGGCAGGCTGAGGCTGAGGCTGAGGCTGATGCAGGCTGAGGCTGAGGCAGGCTGAGGCTGAGGCCGAGGCTGAAGGCAGACTGAGGCTGAGGCTGAAGCAGGCTGAGGCTGAGGCTGAGGCAGGCTGAGGCTGAGGCAGGCTGAGGCTGAGGCTGAGGCAGGCTGAGGCTGAGGCTGTGACTGCGACTGCCGTTGCCGCTGCGACTGTCATCGCGAATGCGACTACGACTGCGAGAACAGCAGAATTCTACAACTGGATTTTCATCTGAATCTTAAGGGGAATGCTTTCAAATATGCTTCTACACATCGACGTTAGGTAGCTTTGCCGGGATAATGCGTGTTTTTTTGTTTGTTATTGCTTTCTCTCTCTATCTCTCTTTTTCTCTCTCTCTCTCTCTCTATATATATATATATCTCTCTCTCTCGCGCCGCCCTCGGCGCGCCAATGGGCGAGTCGAGGCTCGGCCGCCGGCGCGCAGCGTCAGTCCGCGGGGGCGCGGCAACCTCGCCCCGCCAGCCCGCGCCACAGGACGGCGAGCCACAGCCCGCCGCTCGGCCAACGGCCGTCGAGACCGCGCGCGCCCCCAGCTGGCGTCGCCACAAGGGCCAGGCGCGCGGCCCAAAGCGCGCAACGGCGGCAAGCAGGCTGGCCCACCCGCGCACAGCCAGGGCCGCACGCCAAGCGCACCGCGGCGGCCCACGGCCGCGAGGAGGAAGCCGCGCCCCGACGTCAGCCGAGCGGCTTCCCCGTGTAGGGGCCGCACCTGCCGAGCAAACGGCTCAGGTACAGGTGTTTCTTCTTCTGCCCCGCCGTGACCTGCGCGCCCTGCGGGGGGGCGGCCGCCGCAGTTCTGCTTCAGGTCCTCGCCGCGGTCCGCCCCCTGCAGCTTGGCGAAGGCCCCGCACCTGCGGCAGAAGGCGCGCTGCCCCGCCTCGCGCATGCCGCGGCCGAGGTCGACGCTGGGCACGGCGACCTCGCCCTGCGGCGTTTTGCCGAGCTGCCGCCGCCGGGGGCTGCGCGAGCGCCGCCCTGCCGCAGGGGAAGGCCTCGCCCCGCCCAAGCCACCGCTGGGGCCTGGCAGCGAAGAGGCCGCCGCCGCCGCCAGCGCACAGGCAGCTGCCACTGGGAGGCCCGTCGCAGCCTTCGCCGCCGCAGCAGCTGGGGGTGCTTGCTGGTCCCCCCCCTGGGCGGCGCCCCCTCGGCCTCGGGCGTGCGCGGCACCTCCGCGGCCCACTGCGGGAAACCTCTGATGTCGGCCTCCGCCGATGGGTCGCCAGCCGCCGCGTCGCCCGCAGCTGCCGCGCCGTTGGCGCCCCCGCCGTGCGACGAGCTCGAGACGGGCCCCTCTGTCGCGCTGTCCACGTGCCACGAGGCGTCGACGGCGGGCGCAAGCTCGGGGTGTGCACCAGCCCCCGCTCCAGGCAGCCCGTCCTCTTCCTCGTCCGACTCGGGGGGCCAGCTGGAGGCGGCGGCAGGAGGCCCGACGGCGCAGCGTCTGGGTCGGGCCCGTCGTCGTCGCTGTCAAAGCCCGCCAGCCCCAGTTGCTGCAAGCGGGGGAGCTGAGGGCGGCCGCGCCCATGACCCGCCATAGCTCCTCGAGCCCGGTCGAGGGCTGGGGGCCCCACAAGAGCCAGCGGCACCGCGGCCGTCCTGGGCGGCCTCGCGGCCCGATGTCTGGCAGGGGCCCCGCGAAGCCAAGGAGCTCGGGCAGCTGGGCCACTGCGGTCGGTCCGATCAGGGCATCGATGGCCCTCGCCATTTCGTCGATGGACGTCCGCAAAATCGCCGCTACATGGTGCCATGTCGAGAAAGGCAGGTCCAGCAGGTGCCTGCGCGTCGCCTGCCACGCGCTGGCCTTGCGTTACCACGCCTGTCCGGCCAGCGCCTTGACAGTCGCCAGGGCCCCGATCGAGCCCACCCACTGGGCCGCCCCCTGGTAGGCAGCTGTGTCGTCGGGTTGCCGCGGCCACGCCATGGCAAACCTCGCTGCCCAAGCCAGCCAGCTGCGCTCCGCGCCGTCGGGATCCCGCAGGTCGAAGATCCAGTCCGCTGCGAAGACCATGAGGGTTCGCCGCAGCAGCTGCAAGCCTGAAGCGACGTGCGCAGCGGCACCGACGTGGAGCTGCTGCTGGGGGAGGGGGAGAGGGGGGGGGGGGGGGGGGGCGAACCTCCTCCCTCCCCGCTGGTCTCACCACCGCCCCCCCCGCCAGGCGCCTGCGGCGGTTGGGGGCCTTCGCCATCAGCCCCAGGCCGCGGCGGCGGCCGTGGCGGGCCGCCTTGCGGTGTCAGTGCCGCGGGCTCACCCCTGCCAGGCGGCGGCGCGCGGGAGCGGTTTCGCTGGGCCTCGCCCCCGCGGCTGGCGGCTTCGCCCCGCGCCCCGCGCGCGCGCGCCTGGCCTCCGCGTCCGACGCCTGCAGGCCCCTGATGAGCTCCATGTCATCGTCGGCGGCTGCGTACAAGCGCCGGCGGCTCGCCCCCGCGTGCAAGGCGTTGCCGCGCTCGCAGAGGAAGGCCCGCCCCGCCGCCAAGTAGCCGCGGAACTGGTGGACCCGCACCCTGAACGCATCGCCCTCGAGCTGCAGCGCTTGGTCGATGTAGGCCTCGCGAAAAGGGGCGCCGCCCTGCCAGCCTCGCTCGCAGAACTCCTCTGCCTTCCGCAGCTTCTCTGCATCCAGCCTGTCCGCGCGGATGCGATGGAAAAACAACCTGAAAGCAGGTTCGCCGATCAGCCTGTACACGAAGCCAACGCACTCCTGCAGCCAACACGCACACGCATGGCTCTGGTCCTCCAAGTCCGTGGCCCACCAAGACGCCAGCTGCGCAAGGACGCCTTCCAGGTCCCCCGAACTGTCCCAAGCCTGCACGGCGAACTCGTCGTTGTCCGCGGCTGGGGGGGAGGGGGCGGGGGAGGGGGGGGGGGTCGCCGAAGTGGAGGCTGCCGTGCGCGACGCTGGAATCGCCCCGCTTGTTGCTCTTGCCCCTAACCCCGAGGAGCGGGCCAGTTGGGGAGTGCCAGTAGCGGCCTCCTGCGGGGGCTTGCCCACGGAGCCTGGGCCCTTGGTCAGCGCAGGCACCTCGGCCACTGCCAGCAGGCACTGCGCCCTCTCCTCCGCAGACGCAGGTCCCAGCTGGCGGGCGACGTGGGATGAAGGAATAGGGTTAGGCTCGCTCAGGGTAGGCTGCCGCGGGGCCTCCGACGGTGCGCGTCCCGTCTTTCCCCTCCCCTCTCCCTCAACGGAGGCCTCCGACGGTGTCAGTCCCGTCTCGCCTTTCCGACGCGCCACCGCCGCTGCCGCAAGGTGCTCCCGCGCCACCTGCGTCTCCGCCAAGTCCGCCAACTGCAAGCTCAGGTTGACTGCTTCTGAGCTCGCCAGCAACTGCGCCCCAACGGCGTTCTGGCTCTTTGCCGCTCGCATCTGGCCAAGGCGCGAGGGCTGGCACGGCCTGCTGACCAGCAGAGGCCGAGCCTTGTCCGTGTAGGCCTCCCCCCGCCCGCAATGGATACACTGGACCCCGCCTGCCCCCGCCGTCTGGTACCCGTGGCGCGTGAGGCTGAGCTGCGGGCCTGGAAAGAGCTTCCGCTCGACCTTCCGCTTGAGCTTCCCATCCTCGCCCAGCGGCCTCCACAAGCCAATTGTGCAAATCCTGACCGCAGCCCAGCCGATGTAGTCTGCCGTGGCCAGCGCCCGCTGAAGCTCTGCATGGATCGCCTCGGCGGCGTTGCTGGGCAGCTTGGCATCCGCCGCGCCCAAGTTGGCGAAGAAGTCCGCCCAGCAGTTGCCCTGCCAGTCCAGCGGCCCGATGCCCTCTTCGATCGCCTGTTCCAGCGCGCGGTGGGCAGGGGCCCGCCTGAACCGCGGCGGGGGCACGGCACGGGCTGCTGCTGCAGCATGCAGCTGCCTCCAGATGCCTGCATGTCGTGCACGTGCCGACGCCGCATCTGGGCTCCAGAAGTTGCCCTCCGCCACGAGTGGCTGGAGGTCGCTGACGATGGGGCGTGTCGCCCCTGGCTGCCGCAGCGGGGCCAGGCAGGCGAAGCGCTCCGCTCGCCCCGCCGTCTGGACTGCACCTGGGAGCGGGCCATGGGCAACATTTAGCGGGAACCCGTCGGGCCTGAGGGCCACCACTGCCCAGCCGCACCTGCGGGCCTCGGGGGCCTCCGAGGCATGGCCCGGGCCGTCTGCGTAGACAACCGACGGCCAGGGGGCGCGGCCAGCGCCCCAGCCGATGACCGAGTGAGCCGAGGGCGCTGCAGGCGGCAGCGCGGGCAGCAACGCGAGGCCGTGCGAGAGGGGCAGGTAGCTGTCGCCGACGGTCCAGCGTTGCTCCGCCTCGTGCATATGTTGGTGGACTGCCCCCAGCGGCGGCTTGCGGGACAGCTCTTCCTGCTCCAGCTCGTCGCCCCTGGGCGCCATGACCACAGGGCAGCAGCACCAGCGATGCATCAGCGTGTCGCGCGCCTCGCCGCACGCGCGGCGCGCCTGGGTGTCCGTGAACCCATGGCTGCGCCTCCAGACGTTGGTGTAGTTGCCGCCTGACTAGAGCGCCTGGAGCGCCCCCTTCTCTGCGGCCGCGCCTGCACGCTGCGCGATTGCCCGTGCCGCGCGTGGCCGCAGCGTCTCCCCTTGGCTCTCAGGGAGGTGGGCCACCGCTCGGCAGCACTGCCATCTCTGGATGCCCTCGACCAAGGCGTCCTTGATGTCTCGCGGCGCGGTGTGCAATGTGGAGTGCATCTACCCGATGTCCGGCCTGAGCGCCCACGCCGACTGCATGCTCCAGCCGATGCGCTCGAGGGAGAGCCACGGTGCCGCCAAGGGCCCATGGGCGCTTGCCCAGGTGAGGCGGCCTGCCTTGGCCACTGCCGCCAGACTGCCCCAGCTGGCGGTGAGGGCGGCGAAGGGGCCGATGCCCTCCCAAATGCGGCGAGCAAGGCGCACGACCACGGGGGCCGTGGCCGTGTGGATCGGGTCGTAGTCGACGCGCTTCTGCAGGAGCATGACTGCCGCGGTCCCGCACCCAGCCTTGGCCCCCGCAGTGGCCACCGCCAGGGTAAGCAGCTGGGCGAGTGGGCGGTCAGCTAGGCCCGCCACGCCATCACCATGGTCCGCATAGGGCGAGAGGCCCGTGGCCACCAGGACCGCCGCGCGCCTGCCAGCCGCCCGCCTGAGCATGGCCAGCCGCCTCCTATCCATCAAGGAGGCGAGCCTTCGCTTCTCCTGGGTGCGGATCACCTTGCGCCCGCGCAGCTCATGGCCCAGGTTGAAGCCCCTGCCGCAGCATCATGGGGCGCAGCTGCTGGGCCCGTCGGCGCGACGAAGCCGAGAAGCCTGATTTCTGCGGCTGCATCACCAGCTGAAGGTCGGCGGCGCTGACCGTGGAGCTGCTGAGGGCACTGGTGAGGTCCTTGCTGTGCCCCGCGCTCGGCCCCGCCCAGGCGAGCGTGGCGTCGTCCACCAGCCTGCGCGGCTGCGCGGTGGGGGCAATGGCATGGGCCCTCCGAAGCGCCCGCAGCGTGAGCACCAGCAGCAGCGAAATGGCGTGCCCGCGCCCCGCGATGCTCTCCTGCCAGGCCACCACGGCACGCGACATCGCGTTGAAAGCCGCCAGCGTGCGGGGCTGGCGGTAGGTGGAGAGCAGCATCCGCGTGAGGCGCAATGGGAACTCCAGCGCGCGGGCCTCATGCAGCTGCGCCCCTGGCGTCACCATCTCGCAAGCCTTCCAAAGGTCGAGTGCCGCCTCCGCCGAGTCCCAGCCCGCCAACTTGGCCTGCTCCTTGGCCAGGTTGGGGTCGCACGCCGAGTCGGAACTGGAGCGCCCAGGCCCCGCGCCCCATGTGAGGTCCGAGGGGGGCGCCTGCCCCCAAGCCTTGGTGATCGGGCGGCGTGCGCGGCTCCAGATCCGCACGGGCGTCGGCATGGGCCCGAGTAGGCGGTTGCCGCCGTCAAGCTTGGGGGGCCTGACCATGACATTGATGGGGCGGCCGCTCGGCCACTGCAACATGTCCTCACACACGTGGAAGACCGCAATCATCGCGCCGACGGCCTCGTCCGAGATGCCCCCCGGTGCCCTGGGCGGGATGCCCGGCTGTCCAACCCCCGTGCCCCACAGGAAAGAGCGGATCACGTCTCGCACGGCGCGTCGCTCAAGCGGGGCAAGGTGATCCCAGACGCCTGCGTCCGCGGGCTGGCGCGTCTGCTTGAGGCCGCGGTAGTTCCAGATGTCCCCCCAGGGCCGCAGCTCACGCTCGACGATGGCATCCACGTCGCTCCCATCACAGGCCTACCTCCTGGCAGGCAGGGGCCTTGGAGGTGGCGCGCGCGGCCCCTGCGCCTCCCGTGAAGGCCTGGTCGATCCAACCCTTCCGGCGCGCCTGGGCCGCCTGGGTCGCCTAGGAGTACAGCTTCTCCTGCTTCTTCCCTTCGGCCACGATCCTCTTAAGGCTCTTCTGCCAGTCGTCGCCCAGGAACACGCCGCCGCCTCTCTGGAAGGGCGCTCGGGCCCAGACTGGCAGGCGGGCCCAGTGGCCATGGTTCTCCACCTTCTGCAGGAGGTCGTGCACCGCGGCGATGGCTGCGCCCCCGCGGCCAGGCGCTTCTCCCGCAGCTTGCTGGGGCGGCGCATCTTAGCCGTGGGCTCGCTGCGGGGCGCGTGCAGCGTCTTGGTGAGACGGCCGTGCTGGCCGAGGAGGTAGAAGGCCCACTGCGTCGCCGCTGCCTAAGCCCGCGCCTGGGGGGTTCGCGCGCGCCTCTTGCGCGGGGCCCGCCAAAAGACCTCGCGCCAACCGAGCTCGGCGGCGCCCTCCGCGCCCCTGCACGGTGCGCGCCTGTGCTCCTCGCCCACGAGGTCCCTGCTGGCCAAGATCTGGGTCTCGATGCCCATGAGGAGAAGGTCCCAAATTCTCTGCAAGCCTGCGTCGTCGCTGACCGCTGCGACGGTCGCCCTGGCCCCTCCCCAGCGCCAGGGCGCACGCGCGCAGCCGGAGAGGGCTGCCTCCTTGGGCATAGGCATAGGCTCGTTGAGGATTCGCTGCCAGCTGACCGCCGGGAGCTTCACAAAGGGCCAGGTGCACGGGCCAGTGCGGCCAAGTGATGGCGCCGAGGTCCAGCTGGGCCGACTGGTTGGAGAGCCCCGACATGCTCTTGGCCAGCGTAACGTAGTCGATCCGAGAGCCGCCTCCTTGCCTGCACGAGGGCGCACTCGTTGCCCGCGCCACAGCTCTCAGCTTCGTGATCCAGCCGAAGTCCAGGACCTGCGGCTCCACGTTGCAGTCACTCATGACTGCCCAGAGGTGCCCTTCCGCCTCCAGCTGCCCGAGGTACTGTGCCAGCTGCCACAGGATGCCCAACTCGTTGCCCGAGAGGCCCTCGCCATCGCGGAGGTAGACATTCAGGATCACGACGCCCTCCTTCGGCCCACCCCGCGCATGCCCTGCCGCCAGCCCACCGCGACTTGGATGGAGGTCGGGGCCAAGGCGGCGACACCTCCCACCGTGCCCGAGGCAGAGGTAGGTGAAGGGGTCGCCGCACTCCAGACTCCACGCCGGCCCGCGTCCTTGACTGCCTTCTGCTGCGTCGCCAGGTCGCGGCGCAGGCGGTGGCGCTCCTGCGCCGCCATCGCCAGCGTCGACGCGCCGCCGGCCATCTGCAAGGAGTCGCCCAATGGCCCCCACGACGTCGCATTGACCGTGGTCAGCCAACACCCCTTAGCCATCGGAGCGCGCGCCCGGGCGGGCAGCGGCGGTCGCGCGGCCGAGGCAGCCGTCTTGCCTGGGGCCCGCAGACGGTCGGCGCCGTCCTGCGGCTGAGGGGGCGGAGCTAGCGAGCGGGGGGCTCGGGCTCCGTGCGGGGCGCGCTGGGCAGCGCGCAGGGTGCGCTTCCACGCATTCAAGAGACACGAACCCGCAGTCCAGCTGGTCGCTCACGTCAAGTGAGGCGCGGAACGACTCCGACATGTGAGGGAGAGGCTGTGACGTCGAGGGGCCGAATCCCTCCGCCCCCCCCCCTGGGCCGTGCCCTGAGGCCGACGCCCGTGGCTGCCTTTCGGAAGGATCCCCCAGGTCAACCGAATCTGACATCCTGGGGCCGCACCCTTGATGGCCGAACACCCCCGCCAGCCCACCTGGGGCCTGGCCCTGCAAAGGAACGTCGCCAAGATCAGCATGCAGGCCGTGCCCTGGGGCCGCCACCTGCGGTTGCCAGTCAGGACACCCCGCCCGGTCAACCATATCTGCCGCCCTGGGTCCGTCACGATGGTCAGCATGCAGGCCGCGCCCCGGGGGCCGACACCTGAGGTTGCCAGTCACGGGGCCCCACCTGGACAGCCGAATCTGACATCCTCGGGCCCCCCCTCGATGGCCGAACACCCCCAACAGCCCAGCCTGGGTCTGGAGACGCCCCCCTTCCCAGGCAGCTGCCCAGCCCCAGCGCCGCCTCCGCCAAGCAGCGCCGCGTCGTCGCCGCCCAGCTCGCCGCCTCCAGCCCGCATGGCGCCGCCCCAGAAACCAAGGCCGCCCATCTCGCGGGCCGCCTGCTCATCCGCCGCGTGCAGCTCACTGTAGCAGGCGTCCTCGTCCTCAGGAACCATCATCATGGCGTCGACGATGCCCTCGGGCTGCCTTCCGCTGCCGCTTGGGCGGCCGCATCCTAGCGTCGCCCCAGAAGCGCTCGTAGGCTGCAGACACCACCTCAGCAGCAAGGCGCTCAGCACCCTCGGGCGTGGGCGGCGCATGGCCCATCCGCTTGAGCATGTCGTACTGCTCGTCGACCTCCAGCTTGGCGCCGCCCATGACATCGTCGCCAGCAGGGACGCCCTCCCCTGGGACAGGCGCGCGCCCTGCGGCAGCAGGCGGCACGGCGCGGGGGGTGCCTGGCGCAGCGGTGCCCTCGGCGCGGCCTCGCGCCTCGGCAGTTGCCGCCGCCGCCTCCGCAGCGCGGGCGTCTCTGCGCTGCTGCTCGAGCTTGAGGGCGCGCTAGCTGATGGCGCGCCGCGTGGCCTCGTCGCCTCGTCCACGTGGAAACTGGCCTGCCGCAGGACCTCCTCCCCGGCCTCCAGCTCGCGCTTCTGCTCCACGATCGCCGCCAGCTCCGCGCGGTCCTTCTCGACCTGCTTCTCCACCTTCTTGATCCGGTCCGAGATGCTCTATAGCTGCGCGTCCTTGGGCTTGGAGCTGAAGATTGTCGCACGCAGCTGCGCCTGCTCCTCCTCCAGCTTGGCCTGGGTGGCCTGCAGCGACTCTCGGAGCTCCACCTCCCCGATGTCGAGCGCGTCCACCATGCCCTGGATGCTCTTGAGATTCGCGGCGAAGAAGTCCAGGCGCTGCTTGTCTGCACTGCCCGCGCCGTCGCGCCAAGGGGGGCCGCGTCCGCGGCCGCGTCCGCCCCTGCCAGCTGCTGCTTCTGGTCCACCATCTTGGCCTTGAGCAGCTTGAGTTCCTCCATCGCTTTCGCAACCTTGATGCTGTCGTTCGCCTCGAAGGAGGACGCCGCCTCCTTCGGCGATCCAGCGAAGAGCGCGCCCTTCGAGCAGTTGCACTGCTTGCGCGTCGTGCGGTCGCCGAAGTCGAGGAAGCGGTAGCCGCCGGCGTTGGGCTTGCTGCATGACTTGCAATACCAGGGCGCCTTCCCCGACGCACGTGCTGCTGATCCAGCGCCCAGGCTGCATGGCCCACGGGCCCCCCCGCCACCGCCTCCTTTGCTGTCGCCAGCACCGCCGCTGCCACGCGCCCCGCCGCCTCCCTGCGGCGCCATTGCTGCCGCCCTCTGAGAGAGAGAGAGAGAGAGAGAGAGAGAGAGAGAGAGAAAAAAGAGAGAGAGAGAGAAAGAGAGAGAGAGAGCGCCCCAAGCAAGGCGAGGAGGAGGAGGGCCGCTCGCCGCGGCCGGGCCTGGCTCGGATGCTTTGTCGTACCTTGGCCCAAAGCGCGAGCCCCCTCGCGCTCGGAGAACGCCCTCGAAGGACTCGCGGTCGTCGGGCCGCTCATGGCCTTGAGCCAAAATGGCGACGGACTCTTTATGTTTTTTCTTCTCTTTCTCTCTCTCTCTCTCTCTCTCTCTCTCTCTCTTTATATATATATATATATATATATATGTATCCTCTCTTCGTTTTTTTTCTCTCTCTCTTTCTTTCTCTCTCTCTCTCTCTCTCTTTCTTTTTCTCTCTCTCTCTCTCTCTCTCTCTCTCTCTTTCTGCCTCTAATCAACCGCCCCCTTCTTCGCAACTTCTCTCCTGGCGTTTTCCCTCTTCCTTCGTCCCCCCCCCTCCCCTCCTCCCGCTCTCCCTCGTTATCGGCCCCCCTCTTTTTGCAGGGCCCACCCCAATTCCAATGGCGGGCACATGTACGCCCACGAAGGATTGTCCGCCCGTTCAGGTTTGCCCGCCTGATTAAGCCCGCCGCCCCCCGCAAAGCAAAGAGAAAGAACCCCCCAAAAGGGGGTGTGATCGAAGACAAAAGGGGCGGGTATCGAGGGTGCAGGGACCTCGTTTTGAATGACACACGGGCATGTACGAGCGAACAATCTTAGAATGATTGTTTTTGTTGTTGATGCTGCTGTTGTTGTTGTTGAACTCTCATTTCTGAACAATAAGTATTGTTGATCCCCCTCACCGGTGCATGCTGCTTTTCTCAATCAAAGTGTGCCCCTCGACGCTCGCACCCTGTTTTTTGACAGGGAAAGTCTTCCTGCTCAAACTGGCCCCCTGGCCCCCGGGCTACAACAACAACAGCTCCCACTTGAGACTTCCTTACAATTTAGGCAGGACCCCCGCTCCCGCCCGAGACTTCCTCGCATCTTGTTCAGGCGTCGCGCTCTCGCTTGGGACTTCTTTACAATTTATTCAGGAATCGCTATCCAGGAGCTGTGGAGTCGGAGACTTGCTTGCAATTTACTGAATAGCCTTGCGTTGGAATTTCCTGCAATTTGCCCAAGCGCCGCGCTCCCGACACCCACGCCCAGGAGTCGCGCCCGTTGTGGCCCCATGTGCATGCCCTTCGTGGCTCCGCTGTCGCCATTCGTGTCCCCCTCATTGTCCTACGTGGCCCAGTTTCTACCCTCCGTGGCCCCATAGTTGCCTTCTGTGGCCCCGCATTATCTGCACTTCGTGGCCCCCGCTCGTTCGCACTCTTCGTGGCCCCATACGCATTACCTTCGTGTCCCCGCTGTCGCCCTTCGTGGCCTACTTCGTGCCCTTCGTGGCCCTGCTGTCGTTCTCTCTCGCTCTCGCTTTCGCTCGTCGTCGCCGTCGTCGCCGTCGTTTCGACGTCGTCGTCGTCGTCGTCGTCGTCGTCGTCGGTCCCCTGTCCGTCCCTCTTGGGGTCGGGTCGACGGTCCGCGGCCGCCCCGCCGATCAGCGCTGCCGCTGGCCAGGCCGACGGTCCGCGGCCGCCCCGCCGCTTGCCGGGGCCCGGCCTGCAGGGGTTCGATCGAAGACGAAGAGGGCGGGTATCGAGGGTTTGGGAAATACGCGTTATTGGACACTCGAGCATATTAGGGCGAAACAGTATTAGAATGATTGTTGAACATTATTTCTTCTTAAGAATAATTATTGTTGGGACCCCTGGTGCGCGACCCCCCCGCCGCGCCTAGGCCGCAGCCACATTTTCATCATTTTCGTGAGGAAGTCTCAGGCAAAACGATTGGTACCGGATCCGGTTTTTTGTTGACGCTCGTTTTCCCTTGCAAAAAACAATAGAAAATGAAAATTCTTGTTCTTAGTTGATCAAATTGCAAGAATCCCTTGCAAAAAATAAGGTAAAGTGGACATTCGTGCGCGCAAGACGAAATCCTTCCAAAACCTTAGGTTTCGTAGCGATTTTAACATAAAAACATCAAAAACCCAATGGTTTTTTAAGAAAAAATTGTCAAAATGTCCTTCCGCGCGCGCTGTCCGAATCCCACAAAACCAATGGTTTTTCAACATTTATGTTACATGAGCTCGCGCGAGCTACTTTTTCTTGTTCTAACATAATCAAATTTCAATAATCCCTTGCAAAAAATAAGGTAAAGTGGACATTCGCGCGCGCAAGACGAAATCCTTCCAGAACCTTAGGTTTCGTAACGATTTCAACATAAAAACATCAAAAACCCAATGGTTTTTCAAAAAAAAATGTCCAAATTTCATCCCGCGCGCGCTGTCCGACTCCCACAAAACCAATGGTTTTTCAACATTTATGTTACATAAGCTCGCGCGAGCTACTTTTTCTTGTTCTTACATAATCAAATTTCAACATCCCTTGCAAAAAAAAAGTAAAGTGGACATTCGCGCGCGCAAGACCAACAAAAAACACGACGATCTCAGGAACTTGCCCCAAAAATGTGACCAACTCCGCTCTCTCTGTCTCTCTCTCTGTCTGCTCTCTGTCTCTCTCTGTCTGTCTGTGTGTCATGTATTGTATGTCACAATTGCAGGATGCTGGGCACACGCGCGCCCCGAATAAGTGACCAAGTTCTGTGGGTGTGTACCCCACGCCAGTGTAGTAGCCACGGTCGTCCGCACGCCACGAAGTGAAGTGTCCCAACGTCATAGGGCGGGAAGCTGGGTTTGGGTGGTCGCGAAGAGTCGTTTGGATATTTGGTAGAGCTTGAACTGCCCCCCCACGAAGTGGGGGTATTGTCTCGCGTCGCATGAAAACCCTGGCACTGGTGAGAACACTGAGCGTTCGGGTAAAATGATTGTTGTTGTTGTTGTTGTTGTTGTTGTTGTTGTTGTTGAACATTATTTATTCTAAAGAATAATTATTGTTGGGACCCCTGGTGCGCGGCCCCCTCGCCGCGCCTAGGCCGCAGCCACATTTACATCATTTTCGCGAGGAAGTCTCAGGCAAAACGTGGGTGTCCGGATCCGGTTGTATTGTTGACCCCCGTTTTCCCTTGCAAAGAATAAGCTAAAGTGGACATTTCTTGTTCTAACATAACCAAACTTCAAGAATCCCTTGCAAAAAATAAAGTAAAGTGGACA